TAAGAAGCATATACGAAGTTTTTTTCTTTTAAATCATATGGTTTAATGAGCGCCATTTCCACCAGAATTACAGTAATTCACATTCCATCTAGAATTCACTTTATTATAGACATCTTGATGGATTCTAGCAGATTCACTATTTCAGTACAAACTATTTTCAGAAAACTCACGATTTTATAAAAACTTTTTTTTCCAATTTGCGCGACCGCGCAGTCTTTAAACATTCATAACTCTGTCAATTTTTGTGTAAAATAAAAATTATAAAAAACAATAATAAGCCAGAAAGATCCCTTTGATTCTTATCTATATGCTTTTATACGTTTCTTTTATTCTTTTTGAGATATAATGAAAATAAAAAAATCAGAAAAAAAAGTTTTTATAAAATCGTGAGTTTTATTTTGCTGATGATTGATCTAATGATATTTAACATGTCGATAGAGTTATTACCCTAGGACATCTTAAAATAGTGGTGTCATATGGAATTTAAAATATTAAATTATCGATATTTTTTGTCACGTGTTTTGTACTAGTCACATTGGCGTCGACGCTAAAACAAAATGCATCAGTTATCTGATATTATAGAATCAATATTAATTGAAAAATATTAGAGTGTTTTTAAATTAGTGCAAAAAAGTGTGAATATTTCTAATTTGAGGTAAGATAAAATACATTTTGTTTGTAAATTGTAACGTTCTTATACATGAGTAATAATAGATGCGTAATTAACTAAAATGCTTTTTCAACATTTGTGATTTTGTGATTTGACATTAGTCAATCTCATGAATATTTTCATTTTATTTTTAATGGTCATTATTTAGTATACAAGTAAAAAAAGTTGCATATGATATTATGCCTCGAACAATATAATATATTTATATAATTCAATTAATGTATGAGCAAATAAAATGATAATGGTTTTAGATTTATAATTACTTTTGAACATTGAAAAATGAAGACGAAGCGTAAATCATTCAGAAGTAAAAATAAAAATAAAAAATGCATTTATAAGATAGGAAGTGGAAAGGTGCCGAATAAAGCTAAAGACAAAGGCTTAGGGTCAACGATGACCAAATACGCAGTTCGGACGCACTTGACGTTATGACGTCGAGGTCGAAGGGTTCGCAGTGTTCAGCCACGGACCGACGTTCAACGAACAGCCGAAGCGAAATGAGTGCATGGCAACGAAGGGAAATGGTGAGCGCGAATATAAGGAAACAAAAAAGGAAAATAACAGGAATCGCATGAAGAAATTGAGAGAAGACGCACGTTACAGGTATAATGAAAACTGCATGAGGAGACGACGAGAAAACGCGATTCGCAAACGACGAAGAAATCAGTTACGGATGAATTTGATTCGCAACAACAGTAATTACACAGCCAGAGAGAGTGTCGAAAATGTCATGAGAAACAAAAATCTAAGGCGGAATTTCAAATACAGGACAGTCGAGGCTGCGAAAAACATTTCGAGAAATAAAAATTTAAGGCAAAGTATCGAATACAAAACCAATGAAACCGCAAACAATATTTCTCGAAATGAAAATTTAAGGCAAAACATCGAATACAAGACAGGCGAGGCTGCGAATAACATTTCTAGAAATAAAAATTTAAGGCAAAGTATCGAATACAAAACCAATGAAGCCGCAAACAATATTTCTCGAAATAAAAATTTAAGGCGCAAAAACGAATACAAGACAGGCGAGGCGGCGAAAAACATTTCGAGAAACAAAAATTTGAGGAAAAGTATCGAATACAAAACCAATGAAGCCGCAAACAATATTTCTCGAAATAAAAATTTAAGGCGCAAAAACGAATACAAGACAGGCGAGGCGGCGAAAAACATTTCGAGAAACAAAAATTTGAGGCAAAGTATCGAATATAAAACCAATGAAGCCGCAAACAATATTTCTCGAAATAAAACTTTGAGACAGAATCTAATTTATAAATCGAATGAACAAAACAATAACGTTCTCCGAAATAGTAGTTTACGCAGCAATGCTACATGTAAATTTCAAGAACGCCATAAAAACATCCGCCGAATGCGAAACATTCGCAAGTCTAACATCTATGCCGAAAACGAACGATTAGAGAATAAATGCAGAATGAGGCACAATAGGAATGACGCAACAAAATACCAGAAAGAGTTGCAAATTAATGCAGAAAGCCAAAGTAAGAACAGAGATGTTGATATTCTGAATTTTAGAAATAAAATTTCTAGCGGCTTACAACAGGAATCTAAGCGAAGTACGTTGGCCAAATTGAAATTAAAATTTATTAGATTAAGGGAAGAAACGCCTTCTCATATATGTTGTTGCTGCGAAGGGCTGTTTTTTAAGCATTCAATATCAAAATTTCGCAAAGATACTGTTGTTAAAAAAATAATAGAACTGAATGCACAAAAATCTCTAACCAATGAGGCAATAGCTGTGGATGAATTTATGTCGCGTATTGTCAATTTCAACTCTGGATGGATATGTTCCACGTGCGGTCTCCTTGCATATCGTGGAGAAATTTATAAACTGGCAACAAGTAATGGACTGAAGTTTGAAAAGGTTCCCGAATATTTAGAACAATTGACAGATCTTGAGGAGCGCATGGTGTCGCCAGTTATAAATATTATGCAGATCCGATCTCTGAAACCGTATGCCCTCAATCCACAACTTGGATTGAAAGGCAGCGTGGTCAACATACCCATCGAAGTGAATGAATGTTTAAAAGTTTTGCCCAGGAAATTTAGCGAAATGAAAACCATACAAGTGAAATTGAAGCGCCACCTAGACCATAAGAGCGATTACATGTTCGAGTCGGTTCGACCGAAATTCATTTGCAATGCTATCAGATATTTAATTAACACGCCCTTGTATAAAAAGTATGAGATAACATTTGATGAAAAATATTTCGATAATTGCGAAAACTTAATGAATGAAAAAATAAATTTTATAGTTGATAAGAGCGCAGAAAAGGTAACGAAGCGAGTTTCACCGTTTCGGATGTACAGAATAGAAATTCCTCAAACAGCCTGATTGAATTCGATGACGGGTATCGTCTTTTGAAGAACTTGAGATCTTCACCAGCATTTTGGCAGGACAAGAAAAAGAAACTGTTAGCTATGATCAGACAGCTTGGCAGACCGACTCTATTCCCAACACTATCTGCAGCAGAGTCACATTGGCCTGAGCTATTAAAAACGCTCATGAAATATAGTAACTTTGATAGAAGTATATCAACACGGGACGCTTATTTATTGGATCAGAACATCAAGACCAACCTAATAAGGAATGATCCCGTCAGCTGCGCCAGATACTTTGATTTCAAAGTTAATAAACTGATGTGGTTACTTAGGTAAGAAAATAGTATTTTTGGCTGCCATAAGGTTGTAGACAGCTAAGAGCGTGTTGAATTTCAGCAACGTGGGAGTCCTCACGAGCATATTCTTCTATGGCTACAGAATGCACCCAAATATCAGGCAGATTCTAATCAGAACAATAACTTTATAGACTTTATTGATAAATTCCTGAAGTGCAAATGTGATCCTGAGGACCCTTACGTGAAATTGCAAATGCATAGACATGGTCATACGTGCTATAAAGGACAAAAAGCAAAAACCTGCAGATTCAAAATATCTCATCCTGTAATGAGAAGCACTATGATATTGGAGCCACTGCAAGAAGGTGAAATATCCAAAAGGCCTTACAAGGAAATTGACAAACTGATGAACACCTTCTATGCGGAACGGAAATTTGTAAGCTTTGACGATGTTCTGCAGGAATTGGATATGTCTGAGGCAGAATATCTGTTGGCTATACGCAGTACGCTCAAACAAAGCCGATTATTTTTGAAGCGCTCCAGTATGGAAGTCGGCATTAACTCTTACAACCGCGATATTTTCCATTTGTTCGAATCGAACATAGATTTACAATTTATAATCGATGAATATGGCGCGATAAGCTATGTTACGAATTACATCAGTAAACTCGAAGGAAGATTATCAAAGCTACTACGCGAGGCAGCCGCAGACTGTGATAACAACAATGTTAGCGTGAAAGATAAATTCCGTAAAGTTACGAATTTATTCTTGAACCACAACTTGATGTCAGCACAGGAAGCGGCCTATCATGTACTTTCTCTGTCATTGTCAAAACAAAGCAGAAAAACAATATTCATCAACACCAGTCCTTCAAAGAAGCGCGTTCACATGCTGAAATCGAGCATGTGAGCATGCTGTTTAGAAAAGTTGAATGAAGATTCAACAGAGATCTTTATGGCGGACATATTTGATAGATACACCAAACGGCCAAAACACCTCGAATATATATGTTTAGCAGATTTTGCTACGAACTACGAAGTACGCAAACTGCATAAAGCGTTCGACGAGGACAAAGGCAGTAAGGAACAAAATGAAGATAATGCAAGGCGGGGCAAATCTGCTATAATCAGATATGTTCGATAGGGCCGATCAAGATGCTGCTAATTATTATAGAGAGAAACTTCTCCAGTTCAAGCCATGGAGGAATGAACAGACAGAAGTGGAAAATGTTGACTTTCAGACACAATACAATCGTTTCAAAAACATCATTGAGGACAATCAGGCAAAATTCTCAATTATCAGCGATGACTGCATCGATCAAATCATGCAATTGGTTGACAATGAACTTTATGCCAATCCTGACAATGATGATGCAGCGGATATGCCAGAGGGTTTTGACGTTGATATATTTCAACAAGGCGGTGTCAAAAACGATGGTGTTAGTAAAACCAAAACGCCTGTCATTAAAAGTAGATACACATGCCCAACGAGAATTTCACAAGAGGAACTGTACAAATGATTTGTTTGAACGCGAATCAAAAAAGAATTTGTACTGCATATTCTTCACTGTTACAAGTTGGGCAAGTTGCCATTTCAAATATTCCTAAGTGGATCAGCCGGCGTTGGCAAAAGCACGGTTATTGAGGCAATTTATCAGCTAATTACCAACTATTTCGATGGTTTGCCAGGAGGTGATATGGACAAAATAGTTGTTCTATTATGCGCTCCCTCCGGAAAAGCAGCCTTCCTAATCAATGGTATGACGCTTCATTCCGCATTTGTTTTGCCCACTAAGCAATTTGGCGTTAACTTAGTCCAGCTTTCTAGCGACTTAGTCAACACAGTTCGAGAGAAATTATCGAAAGTTCAGCTCGTGATTATCGATGAAAGTTCTATGGTAGGCAGTGCCACGTTGAGCCGAATTGACACACGTCTCCGGCAAATCAAAGGCGTGAATGAACCATTTGGAGGCGTTTCAATATTGGCGGTGAGAAACTTGAACCAGTTGCCGCCTGTGAAAGATAGGCCGGTGTATCAAGTTTCTCGTCACAACGAGATGGAAGCATTTTTTGACGTCAATCCACTCTGGAATGAATTCCACTTCTATGAACTAACTGAAGTGATGAGGCAAAGAGATGATTTGTTGTTTATTAATGCTCTAAATAATCTCGCTAATGACGCATTGACCAATGAAGATCTGGCATTGATAAAGGAACGAGGGGTGAAACCGGATGATGTTCCTGAATATGCTATCAGATTGTACGGAACGAACAAAAATGTAAGCATGTACAATGAGATGAAAATTGAAAGTAACACCAATGTATTAATTGTGTCAGAAGCTGAAAATTCATTTTCTAACAATTCAGCCGAACATCTAAAGCAATCTATGAATAAACTGTTGCGAACTAGAGCTGGTGATGATTTCAGACTGGAAAATAAATTAAATTTCAAGATCAGCATAAAATACATGATTAATTACAACATAGATATCGAGGATGGACTTGTCAATGGAGCGTGCGGGATTTTGAGACTGGTGACTTTCAATGGACAAACTAATAAACCCGAAATCGTTTGGCTCGACTTTCAGATCATTACGAATACATGATAGAACATCAAATAAATACCAATTGGACACCGATTAAAAGAATGGCCATCAAGACGAATGCCAGCGATGATGAAAAATATCATGTTATTCGTAATCAATTCCCATTAGTACCTGCAGAGGCTATGACAATTCATAAAGCCCAAGGTCAAACTTATGATGCGATATGTCTGGATTTCACTAAAAAAGAGCGAAGAGACAAGTCGATGCTTTACGTTGCTTTGAGTCGAGTGAAAAAATTGAGCGGTTTATATATATTGGGCAGTTTTGATATACAACCATCTACAAGCGCAAATGATGTTACCATGAAACGTTCATTGGTCGAAATAAATCGCCTACGCGCAACCAAAACATTAAACTTATCTTATAATACATTAAAAGACGTAACATCTCCGGTATTGATATATCATAATGTTGGTACACTAAAAAACAAAATGTCTCATATAAATGCTGATCGGTGGTTTCGCAGAGGCGATATTGTTGCATTAAGCGAAACGCTAACGAAAGCTTCTGACAAAGTGGACATTGATGACACAACATTTAGAGTAGTCTACCGGTCAAATTATAATCGAAATGGACGTGGTTTATTATGTTACGCCAAAAAAATATGAAAATCACAAATGTCATTGCGAAAGCAGATTCGGACAATAGAGGGAGCATTGAATTGGTATTATTGTATTTCAATGAATACAATATCATAACCGGATACAAATCCCCAAATGCCCCGAAAAAAATGTTCGAAACTGTTTTTCAGAAAAAATTTTCTCTATGTAAGCAACATGCTAAGGTTATTTTCATGGGTGATTTTAATTACAATATTGTAAAATCCGAGAATAAAAATATATATTTGATAAACTTTTTGCGCCAATTTAACATGCGCAGTGTATTGCCAAGCGACGCCATCACAACGAATTCGAATACGCAGATCGATATAATTTTCTCAAATTACGACAACATTCAAGGAGGCGTATATGAAACTTATTTCAGCTATCATAAGCCTATTTACGCCATTATCGATGAGAAACAATACACGACGACTGAAGAATCTTGTCCGTATACTTGCAGTGCAGTTTCATGCGTAATGATTAATGATCATGAGACAATCCAAGCTGAGCAACCAGCCTTAATTGATTCGGAACATGAGAACGTCATTGACTTACATGCCAAAGTAGCTGAGCTGTTACTCGATTTGAGCACATTAGCTGCATCAAATATTAGTGAAGCTAATTTTGCTACTTTGGCAAATACAATAGTTATTGAGAACATGGAATTGATTGCTGCATTGCGAGAGACGTTCGCAGTTGGCAATGTAAAGAGTGTCGATGAAATTACCGAGAATTACACTATTGAATGCAGGGGACCGTACAAAATATTTCATGACATTTTTCATAGGCACCTCAACATAATAAAAACCACTGGTGTTGGAAACTGCTTTTACGATGCCATATCTAGAAACATCCACGGAGATGAAAAACACTCAAAGTCTGTACGATTACTATGTGCGAATCAAATTATCACTGATGAAGAAATGCGCCTTCCGTTTGTTGAGCATGCCCGTCTTTCCAGTTGTGACCCGTTTACACAAGAGTGCGAATGCGAGGTGAAAGTGTCATGCATGCGAAACATGGATTTCAAGGGCCAGGTGAAGCTCCATGCAATGATCAGACAATGGGCATATGAAGTAACGCCTTACTACTTGGCCAGAGCGCTTCAACGTGACATTGTCATTATTAACAATGTTGATGGTGAGCGAAACCCCAAAAAGTTTCGGGTTCAAACATTTAGACATTCCACCGAAGAATACTATAATGCACATGCTCAATGCGAGCCATTACTTTTATTTAATTTGAATAATGTGCATTATTCCGCCATATTGCCGTTGCATGGAATCAAGTTCAGCGATATCATTAATAATGATAATATCAAAAATATAACATTTCAAAGCATTTGTTATGTAAATACGATGTTAGAACGATACAATTGATTTTTCATACAGAAAAATATACATGTCAACTTCTCGCTTTATTTTTTGACGTCTTTATTCAAGAGAAATACATACTAATTGCTAAAGAATATACTTCAGCAGGCGAGAAGTGCGAGATTGACATTGACATTTCTTCATATATCCTAGTAAGTAAATTTATATTATTGCATTATATTTATACTGTTTGTCGTTAATTGATAAGCACATCTGATTGTTGCTATTGAGAATAAAAAAAAAAGATTATAATTCTTGCTAATCAATGTTGTATTTAATAATATAGTGACAGCAAAAGTGATCCTAACGCTGCTTATCATATCTAGTGATGCTTACAGATTGGTGCACAATGGCTTGCGGTCAAATTTATGTCTAATAATGGTCAAAATAATGCAAGTGATAATATATTTATATATATATATATATATATATATTATATATATATATATATGATTTATTAAAAAAGTCATGAATTATTTTCATGGCTTAGTTATTGCTAAGCTAACGTAATCAGATAGTAATTTCAGAAATATGATGGCCATATAATTTCGAAAAGCGACTCAATTGTCAAAGCTTTTAAAATGGATGGCTGAATTGTTAGGCCTATGATGGGCTGCTGGGGCATGAAGAACGTTTTTACAAGTTAGTTTTTCAGCACATGTTGACTACAACAGATGCGAAAGTGTGCTCAGACTGGGTTCGGGAGTGAGCGCTGCCTCTCGTAAGACTGCGGAATACATCAGTACCGATCTGGGTTGTAGTCGAGTTGGCAGCACCATTCAAATACTGGAGGGCTGACGTAATGTACGATTTTGTATGAACAGTCGCTGCGCATAAGTCAGACCGTGGGTATCAGAGGCAAGGACAAAGCGGAGGTTTTAGTCGGTATTATACCAGGGCGGTATTGAGTCCGACATACCCAGACAAAACACCAGTCTGGGATGCATAAAGGCATTTCCTTCGCTATACAAAAAAAAAAAAAAAAACTAATGAATTCGTAAATTGACCAAGAAAATCTTTAATAATCAAGTTATAATAATTATCATCGTTTTCTACAATTTGAAAATACATTGAATCAACTGCCTGTAAAATGTACTTCGTCTCCAAGGTCGTGAATTGACCAAGAAATTCTTTACTTCAGTCAAGTTATAATAATTATCATCGTAATTATCATTGAATCAACTGCCTCTAAAATGTACTTCGTCTCCAAGGTCGACCAAGGACCAAGAAATTCTTTACTTCAGTCAAGTTATAATAATTATTATCGTAATTATCATTGAATCAATAGCCTTTAAAATGTACTTCGTCTCCAAGATCGACCAAGGACCAAGAAATTCTTTACTTCAGTCAAGTTATAATAATTATCATCGTAATTATCATTGAATCAACTGCCTCTAAAATGTACTTCGTCTCCAAGGTCGACCAAGGACCAAGAAATTCTTTACTTCAGTCAAGTTATAATAATTATCATCGTAATTATCATTGAATCAATAGCCTTTAAAATGTACTTCGTCTCCAAGGTCGACCAAGGACCAAGAAATTCTTTAATTCAGTCAAGTTATGATAATTATCATCGTAATTATCATTGAATCAACTGCCTCTAAAATGTACTTTGTCTCCAAGGTCGTGAATTGACCAAGAAATTCTTTACTTCAGTCAAGTTATAATAATTATCATCGTAATTATCATTGAATCAACTGCCTCTAAAATGTACATCGTCTCCAAGGTCGACCAAGGACCAAGAAATTCTTTACTTCAGTCAAGTTATAATAATTATCATCGTAATTATCATTGAATCAACTGCCTCTAAAATGTACTTCGTCTCCAAGGTCGTGAAATGACCAAGAAATTCTTTACTTCAGTCAAGTTATAATAATTATCATCGTAATTATCATTGAATCAACTGCCTCTAAAATGTACTTCGTCTCCAAGGTCGTGAATTAAGGACCAAGAAATTCTTTACTTCAGTCAAGTTATAATAATTATCATCGTAATTATCATTGAATCAACTGCCTCTAAAATGTACTTCGTCTCCAAGGTCGTGAATTGACCAAGAAATTCTTTACTTCAGTCAAGTTATAATAATTATCATCGTAATTATCATTGAATGAACTGCCTCTAAAATGTTCTTCGTCTCCAAGGTCGACCAAGGACCAAGAAATTCTTTACTTCAGTCAAGTTATAATAATTATCATCGTAATTATCATTGAATCAACTGCCTCTAAAATGTACTTCGTCTCCAAGGTCGTGAATTGACCAAGAAATTCTTTACTTCAGTCAAGTTATAATAATTATCATCGTAATTATCATTGAATCAACTGCCTCTAAAATGTACTTCGTCTCCAAGGTCGACCAAGGACCAAGAAATTCTTTACTTCAGTCAAGTTATAATAATTATCATCGTAATTATCATTGAATCAATAGCCTTTAAAATGTACTTCGTCTCCAAGGTCGACCAAGGACCAAGAAATTCTTTACTTCAGTCAAGTTATAATAATTATCATCGTAATTATCATTGAATCAATAGCCTTTAAAATGTACTTCGTCTCCAAGGACGACCAAGGACCAAGAAATTCTTTACTTCAGTCAAGTTATAATAATTATCATCGTAATTATCATTGAATCAACTGCCTCTAAAATGTACTTCGTCTCCAAGGTCGTGAATTGACCAAAAAATTCTTTACTTCAGTCAAGTTATAATAATTATCATCATAATTATCATTGAATCAACTGCCTCTAAAATGTACTTCGTCTCCAAGGTCGTGAATTAAGGACCAAGAAATTCTTTACTTCAGTCAAGTTATAATAATTATCATCGTAATTATCATTGAATCAACTGCCTCTAAAATGTACTTCGTCTCCAAGGTCGTGAATTGACCAAGAAATTCTTTACTTCAGTCAAGTTATAATAATTATCATCGTAATTATCATTGAATCAACTGCCTCTAAAATATACTTCGTCTCCAAGTCGACCAAGGACCAAGAAATTCTTTACTTCAGTCAAGTTATAATAATTATCATCGTA